TGGTGGCCACTGCTGGCTCTGGGCTGGCAGGCTTGGAGCTGGCACAGGCACTGTGGCCAGGGTCTACCCCTTTAATGGCTCTGGGACTGGGGGAGAGGAGAGTAAGTTTTCCTGGTTATGCCCAGAGTGGCCACCAGGGCTCCCTGGGAAGGGCTGGAGGCCCCCTATTTTGAATTAAGTGTCTACACAGAACTTAATTCTAAATAGCTATTTCGAATTTGGCGTTACTCCTCATAGAATGAGGTTTATCAAATTCAAATTAAGCGTTCCGCTATTTCAAATTAATTTTGAAATGGTGGTTTGCACGTATAGACGCTATTAAAGTTAATTTGAAATAGTGGCTGTTATTTCGAATTAACTTTGCAGTGTAGACATATCCTCTGGGTGAGTCTACACTGCAGGGCTTAACTCGAAATAAGCTACGCACATTGAGCTACGTCAATTGTGTACCTTATTTCAAAATAGCTTATTTCGAAATAGGGAGCATCTACACAGCACATATTTCAAAATAAAGCACTCTTCCTCCAACTTCCCTTATTCCTTGTACAATGAGGGTTACAGGAGCCAGAGTAAGAAGTCCTCCAGCTTGATAGTATTTTGACACTATTTCAAAATAACTGTCTGCTGTGTAGATGCGGACTAAGTTATTTTGGAATAGCGCTAGTTATTTCAAAATAGTGTTGCAGTGTAAACGTATCGTCTGTGAGTGGTCTAAGTGCCACTATGTTGGACAGTGAACCACACCCAGTAGGTGTGCAGGTTACACTGGCACAGATAATAAGGATTTTCTTTGTTATGTAGAATAGCTGATTATTAAGGAACCAGTGATAATTGTGCAGGTTATGCTGGTCATACATTCATTATATTTGTCATCAGCATATTGGATTTGAATTCTTGTGGTTGCCTGGAGATGAATTTTGTGGAAGGGGGATGTGGAAATAGAGTATATGCAGTTAATCATATAGTTGAATAATTATACACATGGCTTCAGAACTGAGTTATGGACATTTATTTTCACTTCATTAACGGCTACTTCTCTGTGAGGGAGAGTGCTCAGTAACTTGTGAAAAACATATTCAAAATAATTAAGATATGAGTAAATCATATGTAGGTTAGTTTTCATATATAATACAGGTTGAACCTCTGTAAACCCAGACTCTGGTCTGGCAACATCCAGACCACAGATGTGCCAAGACCAGACAGTCCTGGTGGAGGGCTGGCTGCTGGGTTGCCCAGTTCCCTGCAGTTGGGCTGCCTGGTGGGACTGGGAGCCCGGTGTGTGGCAGTGGGCATGCCAGGAGCTGGGCTGCCCTGCTTATCGGGGGCACGAACAAGCCAGCCGAGAGCCGGGGAGCCAGTAGCAGAGGGGTCAAATATGACCTCCCCATGTCAAAATCCCTCATCCGGAACCAATCAGGCCCCAAGGTGCTGGACCAGGAAGGTCCAATCTATAGGAAAAGATCCTTCTAATTTTAGGGTTCACAGATGTCTGCTGTGTTACATCACAGTGTGATGCTGGTGCGCTATAGATAGTTGGATTGCTATTTTTTGAGCAGCTGATGGAGTGCTGCTGTTTAAAGACCAGTTCTATACCACAGTGTCCAATTCTGAAATAAGAATGTCCTCTTAAAAAACCCGATAAGGCTCTGTCTGATGGGGCGCCGAAACCGCAGCCGAATAGGCTTTCTCGCTGTTGACTACTACTCCACAATCCATCCGTGGGCTCTTTACAGCTGGAGAGTAAGCTCCTGCAGGCGGAGACCATCTCTCTGTAGAGGTCCTAGCGGTACAGGCTATGGGTCCAGGAGAGCTGTGCCATGAACACACGCCGGGTGTGCGCGCCGCACAGCGCTCTGACTTCGGCCGACGAGTGCACGCGCCAGCTGTGCGCGGAACGCGGGAGCAGAGTTGGGAATCCGCCCCGCTGAGCAGAAACACGCTCTACCGCTCCCGGCTGAGTGCTTAGTGCCTCCTCTACGCCAGGGGGCGCTGCGGATACTGAGCGGCAGTAGGGGACGCCGCCGGCTCTACGCACACACACAGCGGCTTCCTCTTTGCTCTCACTTCCTTCCCCCCCCCTCGGTTTTGCTCTTTGGCCCCTAACGGCTGCCGTCGTGACAACGCAGGAGGGTCACGGCGCCAGGGGTCAGCCGAGGCGAAGGCGGGGTTTCCCGGGCCCGGCGGAGGGGGAGGGGCTGAGGTGTGTGTCCCT